TTTGTTTTCTTGTATTTTATCGCTCTGCTGACCCTTGGGGTCCATTTTATTTTGGTATACCTTTTCTAGGTACGTTAGCCTGTGACCACGGAAATTGGCCGAGTCAAGTGATGGATTAGTACGGAGAGATTGAGACAGAAGGAGGTACTGGATAGAGAGACCGGGATGGTTTTTAATGTGAAGACAACAACAACAACAACAAGGCATAATATGTCGGTTGGACCAAAACCGGCCTGTCAATGGTGTTGTGGTGCGGCTATCCCATGCATAGTCTAGTACGTCGCGTGATTTGTTTGTCCATCCGTCTGCACATCGGGCGGTTACAACACCCCCATTTTCGGGACGTCACGCTATCGGAATCCCAACAGTACACAGTATTACTCCCATGCCCTGGTGTGCAGTGCCTGGTGCTGGTACGTTACCCTTTGATTTTTTCTTTCGGCGGGTGTGGGAAGCGTCCTCCTTAATTTTTGTTTTGTTTTAATTTGATCGGTGTCCGAGGGCGCTTTTCTCGAACGGTCGGTGCGATACCTGTTCTTTTCTTTCTATCATATTTTGTTTTCTTTTTCCGAGTGGTTTGTATCCTATTTTTGTTTTTTTTTGTTTTCTCGCGGCGTCGTATGTGCCGGGTTTTGAGACCACGGGCTCCCCATTTTTTTGGACTATAGAGCTAATGTGAGAAACAACAACAACAACAACAACAACAACAACAGTGGTGAAGCTATCAAGAATCGGTTCAGGGGGTATGATATCTCACGTGACCCACACGGCGTGCTTTGCATGTCGGAGGCCCTTCGTTTTAGCGATTGGGATCTACTGTTTTCTCTAGAGGCAGATCGCCCTCCCAGGCTTTCCCCATCAGAGCATCAAAACACTGGTACACGCATTTAATTTTATTTTTGACCGCTCTCGTGATACAGCAGTATGCTCTTTTTTGCAGCGAGCGGTTTCCTCCTCGCTGTAGGTAGATTTCCGGAAATAGCGCGCCCTGGTGTGTTCATTACTGTTGCATGCTGTCTTCACATTATGGCAGCGAATTACCGGTCTCTCTCCACTCTGTACAGCCTAGACTAGTGCCCGTACTGGTCCAAGTCATCAAGCATCTGTTTCGGCGTGCTGTCATGGGCACCGTATATATATATATATGTTTGGACCCGTCACAGAGCCTGAGATATACGAGTATTCTGTATAGTGTACGGTGTGCCGCCAGTCTCCTTTTGGAGGAGATATTGTTGTTGTTGTTGTTGACTTCACATTAAACCGTATGCCAGTTGCTAAATGCCAAAATCTAGCAAAGACTCTCAGCCCGTGGTCACGAAAGTGCTAGAGCCATCTGAGGATCTAAAGAACACGCACACGTAGCAAGAAAAAGGTATCCAAGAGCCCGAAGAGGTACTACTACACCTATATATAATCCCTGCAGCACCGTACGCGTGCCCAAAACTGAACTACACGTCCGTCTCACCGTTCGACTACAGCAACATCACCCCCTACTTGTCCCACTCTGTACCAAAACGAATGATTGCCGACTACAGCATACTTGCTGTCTGAAGTGCTGTCTGTACAAAAACACCATGGTAGGCATGGAACAAGAAGCTGGCGGGGCACAAAGCTGCTGTCTGAAGTGCTGTCAGAATGTGTCTGCGGACGTACAGTGAAAAAGAACAACCAACCAAAGCCATGATTGCAATGGACAATCACCCGAACCTCTCCCGATCGTCTGTGTTAGGCACGCAGTGAAAATATCGACAATAGCTAAGAATCGTTCCACATTGAAGGGGTCTTCCACGATCAGGCACATAACCAAGGCACCCGGGTTAGCCACGCCATCTCTGACGGGTCTCTCTACAAAACCAGTGACGACGTCATCACATAGAACCAACACCGAAAATCAGGAAAAAAACGAGAAAAATTGACAACACAGATCATACACAAATGTTTGTCTGTGCGCCACGGGTCGATGTCGCCCGCATGCTCCGGTGCCGCTGCTCCGTCCGGCGCCGCTGTAGTCAGCCCGAGCATAACGCCACTCGACCTGCTCCGTCCGTACACGCTCTCGTTGCTGTCCTTCCCAGTCGGTTCCTCGCTTTCTCCCTCGTTGCACTCAAGGTTCTTGGTCTGAAAAATAAAAATTCTCGCGCCGAAGGGGTCAACCAGCCCAGTTCAGCTCGTCGCCACCTGCTCCCTCCTCCTTTGATGGCGAAGCCAGGTTACTGAGGCAATGCAGCGCCCTCTAGCCAACCTAGGGCCGTGTACATAGTTCCCGTCCACCTTCTGACGGTGTCTGCCTCCGCGCACAAAAAATGAGATGGGCATCGCTGCCTACGCCGACGGCCAGAGGCCCGCGCATCTACATTTTTTCGCCTGACCCCATCAGTGCCGACCCAACTACACCACCACGCGCATGCCTCGCGGCGGATATGCGCAGCAGCAAGAAGGTTTCGGTCATCCCTTATGCATCCATACATTCATTCAGCGAAGAAAGATTCGTTTCATATGCTTCCTTTCCACCTGTCCCGCATACCAGCAGCGGACCCTATATCGTTGTTTCGCAGCAGCAAGCTCTTGCATGCGTCACAGCAGCAGCAGCGGCAGCACAGCAGTGCTTGTTGCTTGGTAATGGGTGGGCGTGCGTGCCTGATCCCTTTGCCTATTTCTTTCCTACAAAATGCTGTGCGCCTTGATATAAACGTTCGCAAAATAATTCGCTTCGTGCTGAACATACATTATTCGTTGTCTACATCGAAAACAAGGTACGAACTTCGGGCAATTCTTGCGTGCGCCCCCCACTCTAAAACTCATTTGTAAGGCGAGCATTTGTACCCCACAAAAAAAGCAGTTGGGAACAACGTTTGTTGTTGAATCTCCGGCCTCAGTACATACAGATTGAATAAAGGTTTGCACGTAGGCATACCGTATATGACACAAGATAACACACCCCCTGGACCGATTTTCAAAGCTCGATTTCTCCACGGCGAAGAAGATGCATAAACGAAACGAAACATTTTTCGAAAAGCTCTCGACGAGACGGTTTCAACGCCGCCGTTGTCGGCGCTGTGACTGTTCCTGCAGTTGAGAAATCGAGGTTTGAAAATTGGTCCAGGGGGTGTGTTATCTTGTGTCATATACGGTATATGCGTGTGTATGCCATCTGTACTGATCGTCACCTAGTACAGTGGTGGAGGTTCCTGTTTAGTGCCGGTATGTGCCCACAATAATCACCGGCACTGTTCCGGACCGACACTATTCACAGCAGACTGACAATGCTTGGAAATTTCAGTATGTGCCCGCCGAAAACATCGGCACCGCTATGCTGGGCGTTGGCACTAGAATATTCAACTGGCACTTTGATAGAGCCAGCCCTCGCTGTATAGTGTAGAGCCCCGCACATCACCCTCGGACCAGCCGTACAACAGGCGGCATGAGACCATGAAACAAGCGGCGCCAATTCTCGGGTCAGGGCTCGATTTTGTCTTTTGGCCACACCACTACCGTCGAGTCCAGCTTATTGCATCGAATTTTGTGTGGGGTCCTCGGCGGAGCCTTGTTTCTATGAAGCCTCATGTCTTGTATTTGTACAGGAACAATATTTCGGGCAGTTTTTTTCTTGATTTCTTGATACATGCGTGTATCGGGAAAAAACAAGAAGCAAAGCCAGTCACAATCAAAACCTTTTTCGGCGTTCAGGGTGTTACAGAAGCCGAAATCAAACCTTTTGCTGAAAAGTCTATCTAATTGTTTGATTTCGGCTTGAATAATGTCCACCGGG